TCTTTAACGCGATCTTTTAATCTATTAAATTAAAGTGCTTTGTCATGTTGGTGGTGACACCTCTCTTGCAACATGTTTAGCTATCACAGATATTATACTTAGCTTTTTTGGCTTCTGATCGCAAACTTTGGAGCGCTGAGATTAGCGAGCTAGGTCTGGTCCTCACAGATGAAGAAAAAAAAAAGCGAATAGGACTCGAGTGACGGAATCAAAATTTTAATTTGACAACAAGTATCCGATTCCTGACCTTAAGTGTCCGATTCTGGAATCGGAATCAATTTTCGATTCCCAACCCTAGTCTAAACCACGGTCTTTTCACAGGTACGGTTCCCGTCACACTTCAGCTCCGACCTGAAGGACCTGTTGAGAAACCTGCTGCAGGTGGACCTCACCAAACGCTACGGCAACCTTAAAAACGGAGTTAACGACATCAAAGGTCACAAGTGGTTCTCAACTACTGACTGGATAGCCATTTACCAGCGGAGGGTGAGAGTTGCTTTCATCACTGATAGAGATCTGATGCATTCAGTGCTTCCGCTCCCAAAGCTCAATCAGCAAGACTTGTATCTCATATGTGACCCTGGACCACAAAACCAGTCATAAGGGTCAATTTTTCTAAATTGAGATTTATACATCATCTGAAAGCTGAATAAATAAGCTTTCCATTGATGTATGGTTTGTTAGGATAGGACAATATTTGAAAATCTGGAATCTGAGGGTGCAAAAAAAATCAAAATATTGAGAAAATCATCTTTAAAGTTGTCCAAATGAAGTTCTTAGCAATGCATATTACTAATCAAAAATTAAGTTTTGATATATTTACGGTAGGAAATTTACAAAATATCTTCATGGAACATGATCTTTACTTAATATCCTAATGATTTTTGGCATAAAAGAAAAATCTATAATTTTGACCCATACAATGTATTGTTGGCTATTGCTACAAATATACCCCAGCGACTTAAGACTGCTTTTGTGCTCCAGGGTCACATGTTACTGTATACTGGATGTCATTTAGTTTTACCACTAGCAGTGTTGGGGTGTAAAGCAAGTTATGTAATCAGATTACTTTTTTCGAGTAACTAGTAATGTAACGCATTACTTTTAAATTTACAAGACAATACCTGACTTAATTTTTCACATAAGTAACACCAGCTACTTTGTTTTCTCGTTCATTCACGACACTCTCCTGTCTCTGTGTTTAGAGAAAAGCAGAGGCACTTCCTTCAGCCTGAGACTTATTCATTTCACTTTTGGTGTGAAAGGGCCTTTACAGTTGCCAAAAATGTAACTTTTGGGTTTTTTGTTATTAAAAATAAACAAGCATCCCAGCTCAGGTGTCAAAAAGTAACACGATGCATTACTTTTCATAAAAGTAACTAAGTAACCATTTAGTTACTTATATTGTAATGCATTACTTTTAAAAGTAACTTTCCCCAACACTGATCACTACACTGTAAAAAAAATTACTGTAAAATTTACAGTAACTTACTGGCAATTTTGGTTGCCAGTAAGTTTGTAAATTTACAAAAGTACTGTAAATCAATAATTACAATTGTACTGTAAAAATACAGTAGAAGCGTTTATAAATATGAGTGATATTACAAGAGCAACTGTGAACTTGTAATGCTATACATACATTTTACAGTAAATTAGAACATTTGTTGTGAAATTCAATTCACTAATTTAAGTACAATTGAGATATAGTATTAGTAAACCAAATGATATGATAATTTGTCATACTTAAAAAAAAATCATAATTGGCTGAGTATCAATAAGAATAAGAGTATGGTTTAAAGCAAATATCAACATTTGTGACCTGCATTACATTAATATACATCAGTATCTATTTGAAACCATTTTTGTTTTCTTTAATAATCAGTGTAGAGCAATTTGGAAAATATTTTATGGGTAAATCAAGCCTAAATTATGACAAATGTTAAGTTAGATGAACAGAAATATGTCAAATTCATTGTAACGTCATTATTGTTTGAAATTAATATTATGGCCTTACAGTCTTATATTTCTGACATAGTATTAATAGCTAATTAATTAGCATGCTTAATAACATAATTAGTAACATTTGGACTTCTGTCCTGAATTTTAAATGCAAATATGAACTTTTGTGATCTATACTATATATACTACACTCTTAAAAATAAAGGTGCTTCAAAAGGTGCTTCACAGCGATGCCATAGAAGAACCATTTTTGGTTCCACAAAGAACCATTCAGTCAAAGGTTCTTTAAAGAACCATCTCTTTCTTACCTTTTTATAATCTGAAGAACCTTCTTTCGCCTCAAAGAACCTTTTGTGAAACAGAAAGGTTCTTCAGACGTTAAAGGTTCTTTATGGAACCATTTAGACAAAAAGGTTCTTCTATGGCATCGTGAAGCACCTTTATTTTTAAGAGTGTATACTATCTATACTATACATATTAATATACATCTGTATCTATTTTAAAGATATTTTTGCACCTTTCTCTGTATAAGGCAATTAGGAAAATATTTTCTGATCCATGTAAATCAAGCACAACTTATGACAAAGATGAACGTCAGATTCATAAATCTGCGACACGCACAAGGGGCTTGATAGGATTATTGTCATTCTTAAATAAAATGCAAAGAACAAAGAAATGAAATATTGAAATTGGCGAGTACTCAAAAATGAAAAAAAGGAGCATTTCATCCATATTTCATACTCAAATGTAAACTATGAAGCAGAAAAACACAACAATATGAACTATGTAATGCAATAATATTAATATTATCTCATTTCTTCGGCGTGTTTTTTGCAGGTGGAGGCCCCGTTTGTGCCTAAATGCAGAGGTCCCGGGGACACCAGCAACTTCGACGACTACGAGGAAGAAGAGATCCGTGTGTCGTTCACGGAGAAGTGCGCGAAAGAATTTGCCGAGTTCTAGGGGAATAAGTGATAGAAATCAGAGAGAGAGAGAGAGAGGAATAAAGAGAATGAGAGAGAAGGAGAAAAAGTGCATGAATCTTAAAACCGATCCTTCCTCCTGTTAAACAGCAGAGAAACCAGCGGAAGAGAGCAGAGAAGACCTCCAGGGATAAACAGTGAGGCCTTTATCATCTCCTCTGTTTTAATCATGTTTGTAATTTTTTTTTTAAATCTCTGTTCATGTGATATTAATCATGATGTATTTGATTGGGTGTAATTGTTGGCCTGTGGACTGGGATTGTTTTTGCCGCACAAACACAGGGTTAGTTATCGTCTATTCAGAGATTATCTCTAATCTGGAGCAGTTACCGCTAAAGTGCAAGTTCTTCACTAGGTCACCATAACAACCGTACAGAAAAATAGAAAAAAAAATAAAAAATAAAAATTATTCCTGTGTAATAACCGAAATATTTTTGGTCCTGTATACTGCCATGTGTTTCTTTATTCTTAAAAATGCACTGAAGGGATGACAAAGTGACAATGGGATAGAAAAGAAGCCATGATTTCATCAAATGAGCACCTTTTTTTTTCTTCCTCTTTCAGCTGTAGGTCTACCGTGCTCTGTAAAATATTCACTGATGAACTTTGAACTTTCACCTATGAGATGTGCCATGAAATCCTACAGGTGTCAATATTTTGACTCGTCAGTTGTTTCATTGATTATAGCTGACAGATAGTAGGGGCCCTAAAGGCTGCGATGACGGGGCCGACAGCCTTCGTGCAGAGGAGGGGATGAATGTTTTTCCTTCGTATTGTTAATACTATAATTGTTACAGTTCTCATTGGGTTATACATTTATAAAACCTGACGAAATCGCACACGTTCTGTGTGTGATTTCACGCGGCGAAGCCTTGCGGTCGACGCTCTCTTCACCATTTCTTCCCCCTTTATTCTTCCATTTCTGCGTTTTTAAATAGGCAAAGTCTTCTCTCTGAATGGGTGCAGTGCATCTGGCTCCTTTTTGGGTGAGAATTTCTTACACGCAACTCTCTAGGCTACAAATATCTCCTAAGCTGGAGGTGAACTCAGTGGATACCAGTGCTTACTCCTGAGGACATGGTTCAAGTTAATTGTGATATTTTGCACCACAAGAATCATTCCAATAAAGTATTACTATAAATACCAAACCGGTTTTACGTCCCTTTATGTGTAATAGTGGAAACACCTAACATTGTGCTGAGGTCTTATTTGGCACGGTATCGTACCGTACGAGTCCTGAACTGTGCATTGTGGGATCGGGCACCATTAATGAAGACAGAGGGATGAGTTGGGAGGACTGTTTCACACCCGGAACCTCCAAAACAAGTTAAGTATGCCATGAGAGTGTTTGCACTGTGGTGGTGTAAGATAGCTTTATATTTCTTAACCATTACACAACAGTGCAGAGAAATCACTAAATAACTCCTGTTTGATGGCTGGTAGCTGATGATGTTGGTGGAAGTTAATAGGCTTTCTCCAACTGTATACCTGTATGAATTTTGGAAATACAATGGAAAATAATTATTCGAATCATGTCACTTTTTTCCTGTATATGCCATGGCTTCCATTTTTTGTGCTTGTAATTAATGCACTGCAAATTTTAGGCCAGTTTTATAGCTGACACATTTAGGCACTTTGATTAAACCTTTTTGATCTTTACTATTCTTGCCAATGTAACTAGTATTATTTTTTTTGTTTTTGTTTCAATTTATCTGTTAGCAGCTGGCAGTGACGTGAGGACTTATTAAATAAGACTAGACTCATCGACCATTCTGTCACCTAACCATTAAACACAGATGCGTTTCAAAATGTTATTTAAATTAATATCGAGAACGCCTATGGAAAATCTGCTGCATTAGATGGGATGGACTGCGGCGCGAACGTGAACAAAAGCGCAAAACGTGGAACTCCACAATACCACCTTAATAAATAAGCGCCTCGCATAGGCGCAGAGCGCAGCGGATGATTCTCTTCGGAAAGTAGGCCACCTTAAGCGCACATAGTGAGTGAACGCAGGCGTAGAGCGAGGCTTCCGCTTCATTCCCAGCCGGGCTCGGAGCGGATCACTTCGGAGACAAGAGAGAGGCGCTCGGCCGAAGCCAACGGAACCAGTGCTGAAACATGTCGGAGCCGAAATACCGAGAATGGATCCTGGAAACCATAGACTCCCTGCGCTCGAGAAAAGCCCGACCGGACCTGGAAAGAATCTCCCGAATGGTCCGAAGAAGACACGGGTCAGACCCGGACAAAACCAGGGCTGAACTAGAAAAACTGATACAAGAGCAAACTGTGCTGAAAGTTAGCTACAAAGGGTCCATTTCGTACAGGAACGCTGCTAAAGTGCAAAGAAAATGCAGAAAGAGAACGGAGCAAACCACCGGCAGCGGCAGCGGCGAGTCGCTCGGTGAACACGACAAACACAGTTTCAATAACAACGGCGACAGCGCGCTCAGCCTCACGGACCAAGAAGAGTGCGAGGATAAGGAGCCCGAGGACCCCGGGGTGAGTCCGTGTCCTGACCCCCTGCCTCAAACCTCGCCCTCCACTCTCGAAAAGGAAGACAAGATGTTACCCCTGCCTAGCGGAAACAGTTTTATTAGTTTTGGCGCAACGGGCCACTCCGCCGGGAGCGTGAAAGCAAGTGCATCGAGAGACAAGCGACCAGTCGCTGAGGCGGGGGCAAGCGGCTCCTCTGCCCACCGCGATGCTTCAAGTGCGAGCGGACGGGCCGAAGGAGACAAGCCGCTCGCCGCTGGCCACGAGGGCAGATATGAGGATGAGGATGATGAGAAAGAAGAGAAAACTTGCTTGAGCGTCAGCAGTCCGCCTCCGAGAAACAAGCTCCCTGCGTCGCCCAAACCCAAACTCAAGGTGGGGGCAAAGGGCGCCGGGCCGCGCTGCTCGGAGTCTCCGGACGAGAACTGCGCTGATCTGGGCGATAGACTGGTTGCCGCGGTCCGAAGTCTGTCCGAGAGACACCGGGGCTCCGCCGCAACACGGGGCCACACGCCGCCGGGACCGAAAGAGATCCTCGGCTTCCTCAGCACGCAGCGAGGGATGCCCGGGGAGAAGCTGACCCGCAACCGCGTTAAAGTGGTGCTGGAGCGCGAGATCGAGAGGGGTCGTCTCCGCAGGACCCGCCTGGGCCACATCACCCTTCCCGCGAGGGGGATGGGGGCGGCCAAGCCGTCCGCGCGGCTCCTGAAGAGCGCACTGCAGGACAGACATCTCGCGAAAAAGGTAACTTAATATTTCCAACACGTCCTGCGCAGCGCGCAGCATTGCACGCCGTCTTCGTATAAATAAATGATCGTGCTTTGAGAAAAGCGAAAGAAAAAAAAAGCGCATCCGCGCACCATCTGATTTCCGCTCTTTTCTCATGCGCAAGTGTGCGCCAGAACAACCAAACTGAGTGCGTGTCTGAGGCAAACGCGGTTTTTGTGCTTGTTGAGGCCGTGTTGTGTGCAAACGGTGAGGGAACCGACACCTCAGTTGTGTTTTCCGCTCGACACGCAACTGTCTGCGTGCCCTGTTTCACTTCAGCGTCTCAGCACAAAAGGTGCGGACTCGCGCTCGGCAGCGCCCGCCTGCCTGCTCTCATGCGTGCGAGCGAGACACCGTCGCTTCTCTTGTTCCGTCGCTCTAATAGACACTCATCACACAAAAGCGCGCTGGTCGAGAATCAGACTGCTGCTGAAACACTGATGTCTGCGTGAGCTGCGCGACGTCGTTATTAGGATGCGTTATAAGTTGTGCTGGATATTTTTCACTAGGCGGTGTCTGTTAAGTTAGACGCGCACGGAAAATGTAAAAGGGAGGGAGGGGGGGACCCGAGGCTCGCGTCTGTTTTCTCAGGCGAGCCGTCGCTCTGTGCAATACTTCAGTCATACGAGCTAAAAGCAGTTGCGATGGCGGAAATTCGCTGCATGGCGAGCCATTAAAGTGCGGCTCATCCAGTCAGTCGTGTTTCGTTCCCTCTTTTCATATCAGATTTCTCAAGCACTGTCCCGCTCACTTACAGACCAAATTGATTATGAGCCCCACTGAGTTAGTGCATGGTCAAATCGTTGTTATCTAATCAAAATCACTAGCATGAGAATCTGTAGCGGATGTTTGGGGAGTTTCTGATGTGGTTGTTCAAAGGAAAAACTGCACATTCGTTTAGTCGCAGTCCTGCAGACGATGGAGGTCGCGCACAAAATAAAACCGCTATTTGGCCTTTTCACGTAGAGGGGGCGTCGAGAGTCAGTAGTTTCTCTCTCTCTATTTCTTTCCTGTACATTTGCAGCTAATGTGATGTAAGGTACAGTCACCGTCAGAGTCAGAGATCTCTAAAATAAAGCGTTCAGTACTGTTGGTGTCTCTATTCCTGCTTGTCATGAGGAGGTGAAGGAGGAGGAAAGGATGGAGGTGGAGAGTGAGGAGCATGGCCCAGAGGAAAACATAGCGGGCCCAGCGGAGGATTCTCCCCAGACCTCCACTGATGGAGGTCCCGCAGGTGTCAAAGCTTGCACTGACCCGACCTCACCTGACACGGAGGTGGAGACCGACTCACTGAGGTCTGAGGGGAAGTCCCAGTCATCTTCATCGCTGGAGACGTCAAACCAGAGCTCCTTACAGCAGGAAGCAGATGTGGGAGGAAGTGAAGGTACTTGCCCTGTCTCTGTTTCATGATAGAAACATTGTCTTCAGTATTTGTATCTGTTTTTTTAAACATCTAAGCATGCTTAACTTAAAATAAACTGCTTAGAATAAGATGGAGAATAGACATTAAATTACATTTTTAGTCACATGGACAATTTGTTGTTCTTGTTTTAAGCATTAAAATTGCAAAGTTTGTCAGTAAAATAAACTTGTGTAAAATATTCTCTGAAAACAAATATCTTAATATACATGACTGTTTTGAGGATTGTTTTATGTTTAGATTTTTGTACTGGAAAACAAGACCAAAATACTTCTTAAAATTATATATATATATACAGTGAGTTCAGTACATCAGGAGATTCTTTTCATGGAGCAAATTAAATGTATTAGTTACTAAAAACGTTCCAGAACTGTTTGGATGGTTTTTCAGAAACACTAGTTAGTTTTAAGCAATGCAAGAATAGAATGAAATAAAATTCTGAAATCTCGCCATCATCTCATTTAAAAACGATCATCCTTTAATGAAACTTGAAGAACAATACAAGAATTCATGACCGCAGTGATTTTTAATGTTACACACAAATCTATGCTTTCATACGCTCTCTACACTATGGCTAATAATCACTCATTCAGTGTTTAAGTATTGGCTCCCTTTCGATTCTTGAGTTCGAATTTGAATCAAATTGGCCACACCTCACAGGAAGTTAAATCTGAGGGACAGGAAGTGGAATTTATTGACTCGCAGCCCTGCTCAGAATAAAGTGTTGACCTAATACAGCCCTTATTGAAGATAATATTTTTATAAATTCTACAAATATTTTTGGCTTTTAGTAAATTCAGGCAATGCTTTATCCAGAGGGGGGACGTCCTTCTGGATTATGGAGTAGAACTCTAAAATTGGCAGCCGTACCTGTGAGCAAGTCAAAGCTATGGAGGATGAAAGAATCAGTATGAAGACTTTGTCCAGAAGGTGCACGGATCTAAGGGTTTGCTCACATTGCACATAAATCAGATTTGTTTTTCGCATCCGATATTTAGGTCCACCCTATCATTTTGCACGTGATGATAACAGATCCGTTTGTTTGGACAGTCAATATCTGCTGGGTCTACATCTGTAATCACTTGAAAGTCAACATGATGCCAAGAGTTTCAGTCTGAATTCCAAACAGTTAGTAAAATCTGATTTTCTGAACAAAGCCAAGGTGTTTCGAATATGACTTTACCCAGATGGCATTACAGCTGAAGAATCTGAATTGTTTCTAGCTGAAGCAAAGGTGTTCATGTGGAAGGTATTTGAAGGCAGTAGGTGGATGCGAGCGCAGGGTATCCACAGGTGCAGCATCAAGCGGGACTAGAGGTTTCAAGTTCTGTTTTTGCTTTTTTATGGAATATGTTTGTTTGCTTTATGAGGTAGCCAAGGGAAAAAAAATGTCCCACAGCTTATTGTGCCACGATTAAAATAGAGTTCTTAAATGTATGTAACAAAACTGCTATTCCAAGCGCTGGAATTGAGTGCTTGAGTGTTTGATGCTGGATTTGTGCTGAAGGAATGTGTGTGAATACAGACATGGGCTCCCTGCAGATGTGCGACAATTGTCTGTGCTTGAAATCTTAAGAAATGATAGTATTAAAACCTCTTTCTCTCTCTCACACACACCCACACTTTCAGAGCAGACACCGTCAGTCGAGCCTGAGGATGCTGGTGCTGAGAAAAACGCAGATGCGCCTGATCAGCTACATCCCAGCATTGAGGTAATGACAGGCAGTGCAACGTTTACTTAAAACCTTTAGGGTGTTAATATCTGAGGTCTTTCTCCCATCCCAGTTGAATGCGCATTTTTTAAATCTATATTTGCTGCCATTAGTGTCAGAGATTATATGCTTCCCATTGGAAATCTTTCATTCTGCTGTCTGTCATTTTCCCTCATCCTAGTCTTACCGAGAGCATCTCTTTTTATATTTCTCGCTCTTTCTCCTTTAGGATCAGGTGACTGTGATGTCAGAGACTGTAAAGGCTTCAGTACCTATAAGAAACTGTAAGTTCTTAGAGCAAATGTTGGTTACTTTCTGAATAAGTGTGTTCATATCTGTCTCTTGTGTATGTGTTAATGTACAGTCTGTATCTATGTGCCAGTTAATGTTTTAACTCCGTGTCTGTTGCTCTGCATGTTTGTGTGTTAATTTATATTGCTGTGTGTGTGTACTATTCTGTTGTTATTCTGTCTTTCATGTAGTTATTTTGTATGTATTTGTTTTTATTTATACATGTTTATGTGTTTTATTTGATGTACATTTGCTTTTTATGCTCTACCGTTCAGTAAGATATGTTTGAAAGAAATCAATACTCTTATTCAGCGTAAATAAATGCTGTTCTTTTGAACTTTCTGTTCATCAAAGAATTCTGAAAAAAATTATCACTTTTTCACAAAAATATGAAGCAGCACAACTGTTTTCAACATTGATAATAATCAGAAATGTTTCTCGAGCAGCAGATCAGCATATTAGAATGATTTCTGAAGATCATGTGACACTGAAGACTGGAGGAATGATGCTGAAAATACAGCTGCGCATCACAGAAATAAATTACACTTTAAAGAATTTTAGTTATTTTATTAAGAGACTTTAAAAAAGTCCCAACCGACCCAAAAATGTTGAAAGGTAGTGCTGTTTTATCATTCTGTGTTATATATATACACTCAGGACACAGGTGCGCTGAACCGAACTGCATGATCCTTGAAGAGTTCATAAGCTACTTCACTGGACTTAAAGGGTTAGGTCACCCAAAAATGAAAATTCTGTCATTAATTACTCACACTCATGTTCATGAAGCAATGTGAGTAACACACAAACAACACAGCAGACTGAGATAGAGAGAGAGAGAGAGAGAGAGAGGGTAGAGCAGAGAGAAAAGGCTTTGGTTGGGGAAAAAAGAATTAAAGTCTGAGTAAAACACCTACTGACCTTCTAACAGGAATCACCAGAAGTGAGTCATAATGAAAGAAATGAAAACTGAAGATTGAGGGTTGTCATCAAGTCATGATATAACATTTTCTTAGTGTCTCCAGCATACCTTAGATTTTATATATATATATATATATATATATATATATATATAAATATATATTA